TTTGGGTTTTGGGTTTAGGGTTTGGTAGGGTAGGGTGCAGAGCATCAAACGCTGGCTTGCGTGAGGGCAGATCGATAGTCGGTCTGCGTGGGTGAGGGGTGTGGGTTTGGAGAGGCAATTTGATCAGCAGATATCCCGCCGAGTTTCAGAGAGAGGTCCCCAACAAAAGCACAGAACTCAGAAGAATCCTTCTTACTGTCGGAGTGACTTCGCTGAATACTGAAAGCAGTCAGCTTGTTTTGGCACGAAACTTGAATGGGGGTTTAGGTAACCTTTCCGCCCGAAAGCCCGTGCCCCGAAGCCCAGGATCCAAGCCTCAGCCGTTTCGTCGTCCCCACACCCTGCAAATAAATCCTGACCCTACAAAAGCCTACATACCTTAAGAACCCAAAGCCTACTTTTTTGTAGGGTCCCTATAAATTCCATATTAGGGTTTATAATAAGATGCTACAAAAAAGTGGGTTTTGGGTTCTTAATGTACTCCTCAGGAGCCCTAAACCTTAAACCCTGCAGAACCTAACAAACGCTGAGAACGGAAACTTTGGCGGAGGAGGCGGAGAGTTGTCATTTGGAGGGCGCCGAGGTCTATGAGGCGTTGTGAAGACCGTGAGAAGTAAGGGGTTTAGGGTTCGTCGGGTCGTAAGTTGTTGAGGTGCAGGGCTGTGGGGTCGCAGGATTTAGAGCTTGGCGGCTGTAGGGTTATAGGGCTTAGGGCTTGAGCTCTCAAGTTTTCAAGTCTGAGGGGTTTGATTTCGGATCCACCTTACGATTTAGGTTTCCAGCGGTAGGGTTCCTGGAAATTAACTTGGAGTTCTCGTGTTTTGGTACGTTTGGGGATAGGGCTTGGGGCTTCATTTTGGGGTCGATGGGCATTTAGAGGTGTCGGGGTGCTTGTGCAGGTTGTGCTTGAAGAACTTTAACTGAGGTCCACAGGTTCAACCGATGATGCTTCGCACCTGGAGTGTATACGACATCAGTTAAGAGCGGCCGAAACAGGAAAGATGTCATCACTGCATAAGCTGTTGGTTGAGTGACGAGCGTTTCGTTGCCTAAGCTCACAGACGTGAACGTCGGTAAGGTCCTGCGAATGGTTGCTACCGCTCAGCACGCTAGGAAGAGCATCTGCAACCTGATCAGCACTGGCGAAAGAGCAAGCATCTTTCTCAGTTTAAAAGTTCACACCCTATTTCAGCAGACGGTAAGAGCTTTCCTGGTAGCCGTGTGTGCAGTCCTAGCACGATGATCTTGTAATCGAAAAAGAATTGAAATTATGTCATGCGAACGAGAACGTGATGGACGGTTAGGTCCGGCATTGCTGAGGTTAAAGTGGTAAACCACACTGGCAGGTGCTAGTGGCAGTAGACAGATACTTAAAGTTTGAACCAAATTGCCCATATGGAAAATACGGAAGAGCAGCAAGAGAACAAAGCAACACGCCCGGCCACCCGCCCGCCCGCCCCCGCCCGCCCGCCCGCCCTTCCCGCCCTTCCCGCACGCCCACGCACACGCACGCATGCAAGCAAGCAAGCACGCACGCGCGCACGCACGCACGCACACAC